TTGGCTAAATAATTTGGCTGACCAAAAGAGGAGAAAATATTCTTTGATATTTAATATTATTCCTCCATAATGGGTTCTTTATTAATAAGTTTTCTTTCTCATCACAAGAATAATAGATCATAAGTTTAGTGCTGTTGGGTACCTCTGAGGTCATCTAGTCTAACACCCTCATTTAACAGTTGAGGAAACTAGACTCAGAGAGTTTGAGGGAATTGCCTAAGATCACAGGACTAGTAAATGACAGAGCTAGGATTTAACTTTAGACTGTAAGGATTATTCAGTTCAGTTATTTTCAACTCCATGAATAGTCCAACTCTTCATGACCCCATTTGGGGCTTTCCTGGCAAAGATACTGGAGTGGTTTGCCATTTCCTTCTCCAGCTCATTTGACAGATGAGGAAACTGAGGTAATCAAGATTAAGTGACTCATCCAGGGTTACACAGCTAGTAAGTGTCTGAGGCCACATTTGAACTCGGGAAGATGGGTCTTCCTGATTTCAGGCCTGGTGTTCTATCCACTGTGCTCCCTAACTGCCTTGATCATAATATCACCCTACAGGAATGAAGACTCAGATATTTTTCCTCATCAGTCATTATGTTTTTCAGTCTTTATCTGTCAGGCTAAATGTACTTTTAGAGAATAAGATAATAAAGGGCCATATTTATAATTTTTCCAGAAAAAGATACTTTGTAGTCTAATAAGCTGAGTACTTAGTGGCCAAAAGAATTGTCCCTGCTGATTGTTATAAGACTTTGGAGACTTTTCATATCCTCTCAACTTGTTAAATTTGAAGTCAGATCACAATATTTTTAGATAATTCAATTCATAGGATCATAGATATAGATCCATTAGAGACCTGTGATGGCATCTAGTCCAAATTCCTCATTTTACAAATAAGTAAACTGGGGCTCAGAAGAGTTAGTGAGCTACCCTAGATCACACAAGCAGTAAGTGGCAGAGTAGGATTTTAATTCAGGTGCTTTGGTTCCAATTCCAGTACTTTTTCAACTGTACCACTTGAACACAGTCCAGTCACCTTTGGCTATTAACATAAAGACAATAAGTCAATGATGCAAATTTTAAAAAGTATTTAATAAAGATTCTCCTTCCTTTTTTGTGTTTATGGGGAATTCTTGGACATTTTTACTATTAGGGGATACTTATGGAGAATAGCAAAGAAGTTATTGGGTGTGGTTAGGCTAATGTGGTTTTTCAGACTGGAAAAGTTCCTTTGTGGGTATTTTGTTTTTAGATTAAATTCAGAGCTTCTTGAAGTGGAATGTTAACCAGCTGTCAGGGCTGCAAAGTGAAGTTACATGGATAAAGTTGAGATTTGGACTTTGGTTACCATTTGGTTGTAAAGTTGTCTTTTTTTGCAGACAAACTTGATGACACCAAGATTTTGCTGTGTTGTAGAAAAAGTTTGGGGAAAGATCCAAGATGGTCCTAAATGAGCTCAGAAATTCCTTAGTTATTGACTAAAGCTGTGCCAAGACTTTGGCCAAAAATTGGTGAAACCCTACAATATATCCGGAGAGCAAGGCTTTGTCTCCTGCTTTTCTTTTAATCTCTACAGTGGTAGGGATTGGGAAAAGACTTATGCATGTGCATTTTGAATGAATTATTTTAAACTTTTAGCTGCATTTGAGAAAGGGGGAAAAACCCAAGAGTTTATGCAATACAGACTCAGAGACACATGGGAAGCAAAGCAATTTTTTTTAAACTATGATTTTTCCAAAGCGAATTAGGGGAAATGAGTGTTGAAGGGAATGCAGAAAAATTTGGAAAGTAGGCCTTAGCTCTTCTGTTTGGCATATTGCTTAGGTCATTGGAAATCTTCTGTGCAGGGAATACATTAATTTACAAAATCTATTCTTTTCCTTTGTTTTCTTTCTTTTACCATCTTTGCCTGTTCAGTTCCCTCTGCCTTCTATTGCATATCCCGGCTGTCTTATTCTTCTCTGCTGTCGTTTGGCCATAGTATCTCTTCCCTTCCCTACCATTTCATTGATTTTGAAGTACCTTTGGACAAAAACGCAGGCTTTTAATATTTAGTATTAAAATTTTAAATATTTAGTATTTAATGTTGTTTAGAAATAATATTTAGTATTGTCCCCAGTTAAAAACTTTTTTTTTACTGTTTCCTATTGTGCAGTTTGCTTTTTGCTTAAAATCAAAGGATGATTATAAATTAACTTAGTTCTTGCATACCTCTTCAAAATATATGGTTGCTTTTTTATTGGATTAAAATCAAATTAGATCTCTTTTAGAGTATATTAGGTGAACCAGACTAATAAGGCAGAGTTGAGAAATTCCTTCTCCAAACACACAAATAAAACTGCATTGCAACTCTTTACTGACGTTGAATAAAATTATCTGTATTGGGGCTAGAATTCAGACTTGGTTTCTTTGTAAGAACCTGTCCTCTAGTCATTTGAACAATGACCTATCTATAAACTATATTCATAGAAATACTTTTAATTTGAAGGCTTAACTAGTTTTTGCAATGATTCTTGTGGTTTTGGTTTTGCTACTAAGCCAATGAGTCATTCAATAAGCCTTGATTAAGCACCTACTATATGCTACTTACTGGAGAAAGTAGCTAGGGCTACAAAGGCAAAAACACAGCCATCCTTGCTCTCAGGAAACTTATATTCTGTGGACACTTATTATATACTCTTGGCCAGTTTTCTCATGATTGGTTTTCCCTTTTTTGAATAAGACAATTATGTTTTATGCAACTGTAGGGGTACTGTAAGGATGAATCTTTGCTAAACATTTAGGTCTTATATAAGTAAAAGTATTTTGTGTCTTCCAGATGAACACTTTTTATTACTATTTTAATTTCTCATGTATGTATTAGAATCAGTATATCCCAGTGAATAGAGAACTGGTCTTGGAGTCAGGAAGATTTGGTGTCAAATCCCACCTGCAGTGGGCATATATTATCTGAGTGACCTTGGACTAGTCACTTAACTTCATGGGTGTCCCAAGAAACTCTTTAAGTCTATAAGTTGTAGAATTGCATCAGTAGAGGAAGTTTTCTCACTAGGAGTTTCCTATGCTAAGTTTCTCACCCTTCTAGACCTCCCAAAAATATTAGTGGTAGCTTGGCATAGGATAGAGTGCTGGACTAGTAATCAGACCTGGGTTCAAGTCCTACCTCTGACTATGGACAAATCTCTTAAACTCTTTGAGACTTAGGTAATTATCTACTAAGTTATACATAGATTGTGATCTGCCTTGGTGAAGATAGCACCACATCCTACTCCTACCCCCACACAGTTACTTAGATATGAAGGAGCATGATATAGTATCCTGAGGATTCACCTTGGAGTCAAGATCTGGGTTCCAGTTCTGCCTGTGTGACCATGGACAAATTGCTTAACCTCTCAGGCACTGAGACTTTAATCTACCAATGAGTTGCTGATTTACATTAGTAGGAGGAGTTTCCACATCAGGACTATGCCTGATAATAAATCACAGACCTGGAAAAATATGTCTATATCTATATGTAATGTATATCTGTAGTAGCATATATGTATGACAATATATATTAAATAGATACAGTATTCATTTAATGTGATGCTGATATATTAATGTTTTCCATTTTATAGTATAATACATTTCAAAAGATAATAGATTTATAGATTTTAGAGACTAAAAGGACCTTAGTCTAAGTTGAGCCTCAGAGAAGTTCAGTAATTTGCCCACAGTCACAGAAATAATGTAACTATGCTTGTACAAATCTAACTTTTTTTTCAAAATTTTAAAGTGTCCAGTTACTTATTAGTAAAAACTATTTAAAATATTATTGATTCAATGATGATTGTAAGGAAAATTAGGCAGAAGATACCAAGGCACTTTGAATGGATTAATTTTATTGATTATGTAATGACATTAAGCATTTTTGAATGGACATGTGGATAGTTGTTTCTTCTGCAAATCTGATTCCTTAGTGAAAAGAAATCTCACTAAGATTTTTGTTTCTTTGTATTATCAAAACTTTAAATTCTTCATTTGTGTGAACATCATTTTGTTGAATAAATGGTCTTTGAATGTTACTTGATCAAGCCTGTGAAGATGCAGTGTTGAATTGAATCTTTGGATTGCAGGGGGGAGGGGGGAGCAGACATGTATAGTGTCAGAACTGTTTCCTTAATTGCCATAAAATAGATAAATTTATTTTTTCTTTCCAAAAAGAAAAACCTTTTATAGATTGGAATCATAGATTTAGAAGTCAAAATCAGAATCATCTAGTCCAGCAGTTTTTGCATTTTTTTTGTGTCCTTGATGCTTGTGTCTGTTGAAGCATGTGGATTTGGTTTCAGAATAATGCTTCTAAATGCATAAAATACAATAGATAGGATTACAAAGGAAATTAATTGTATTGAAGTACAATTATAAAAATATTTAAAAAAAAAACACACATTCACAGAGCCTAAGTTAAGAATTCCTGCTCTAGCCCGGCCCTGGAGTCAGGAGGACCCGAGTTCAAATCCAGCCTTGTACATTTGCTGACTGTGTGACCCTGGGCAGTCACTTAACCCCAATTGCCTTCACCACTCCCCTAAAAAAAGAAAGAACTCCTGTTGTAGTCTAACCAGCTTTACTGATGAGTACTTGAAGGTATTTAAGGTCCAAAGAGGTAAAAAGATTTTCCCTGAAGTAGTAGAGCTGGATTTCCAGTATCCTTTCTTTATTACATCCTTCTGAAATGACCTGACAAGGTTACAGAGTTAATTGCAAGGTCAGGGCTAGGATCCAGGCTTCCTGAATTGTATTCCAAGGTTCATTCTTTTACTACCATATTGTCTTGAATTGAGCTCATTTAAAAAAAAAACAACTATTGAATTAACCTGTTTTTCAGTAGTGGAACATTTAAAATTTTCATAAATGTTATTTCTTGGGACAAAAAAACAGCTTCCAGAGGCAGAAAAAGTTTCTATAGTGAGGAAAGATGCTAATAAGACATGTTTTTTGGTGTTTTTTTTTTTAGGTGAAAGTTATGTATGTGCATCTAATGAACCATTTCGCAAAGTTGATTACACCAAGAATGTTAATCCAAACTGGTCAGTGAACATCAAGGCTGGGTCAGCTCGGCCAGTGACGCCCTTAGCTTCTACAAAGAGTGAAGTGAAGGAAAGCAAAGATTTCATCAAGCCCAAACTAGTGACTGTGATTCGGAGTGGAGTGAAGCCCCGAAAAGCTGTGAGGATCCTGCTGAATAAAAAGACAGCCCATTCATTTGAGCAAGTCTTAACAGATATCACAGAAGCAATTAAACTAGATTCGGGTGTTGTCAAGAGGCTCTGTACCCTTGATGGGAAGCAGGTAAGTGGCATTAAGACACAACAACATCATCTTATAAAAGGATGTTAAACTTGAAAAGGAAGACTGTACAGCTTTATTCCTGTTTTGATGTACATCTTGAACCAGAAGATAAGTTGGAAATTAACTCAGTAGGTTCTAAAAACCTTTTTTTAATTCCTAAGAAATTATTCTTGTACTTGTCCATCCTGGTTTTTCCCCAAGGAAACAGGACAGCATTGTGCTTTCATCTATATACATGTTGCTTCATAAACCCCATCTATATGGAATTTAGTTGATCTATGAACTGCCTTTATTTTTTTTCCATCTAAATGTCTCATAAATAAACACAGCCTACTGAAGTGATCAGTTCAAGGTAACACATCTAGTAAGTTACAGGATCTTTTTCTGAGGAAGCAGGGAGAAGGTGTTAGAAACTTGGAATGTATTCAATTCCCACTCAATTTGTACATTAGATGTGTGATTATTCTTTTTTTTTGTACCTTTGGCTTAGAGTAGAGTGGTCATTGTGGGTTTTCTTCACTCCAAGAGTCATCTCCAAAGGTGATTATCACTTATTTTGCCAAAATCATTGTTGGTGACCTATGTATCAATGAAGAAGATGTTTTTATATAACATTCAGAACAACCAACGTGCTTGACAAGCATTTCTGAGAAAAGAGCAGAAAGAGGTAAAAAAAAAATGCTTTGCAAATTGTGGTGGCAGTAACAACATAGGAATTATAAGGAACCTGTTAAAAAGGAAACATGGAATCAGAGACATATTGCAATAATATGTGAATAGCTCTAGTCTGTGACTTCTGAGTTTCATCATACTTGAATTATCAGTCATCTAAAAAAAGCAAGTGATTTCAGAATGGACTTTCATTTTTTATTTTAATCAAGTGGAATTCTATTAATTCATTTTGTCTTAGAAATCCAATGACCAGTGTCCTGTGTTATGTTTTTACATACTTCCTTGCACCCCTTTGCTATTCTCACCGTATCTACAATTAGTCAATAAAAATGAGTGTTTGGCTCCAGACCTTCATGGAAGGTTACAATATAGAGCACTTTTTAGAGAGATATAGGGTGATAGACCTGACAAGCTAATGTATCTGTGTAACTGAATTAGTGTCTTCTGGGAGGAGAGAGAAACATAAGTAATCTCTGACTTCCTAAGATCAGGTTTAGTTAGGAGCTGGAGTTTTGTGACATGCTAACAAACTTGCAATAATGTTTCAGCCATAGTGGCCTACTAGCTGTTATGTGAATTTGGCATTCCATTTCCCCTTTAGCATTCCCAACACCTTTGCCTAGGCTGTTCCAAGAATGTACTTTTCTCCCCTTCACCTCTTAGAATCCATTACTTTCTTCAAGAGTCACCTACTTTCAGGGCAGCTAGGTGGCGCAGTGAATAGAGGTCTGGCCTTGAAGTCAGGAGGACCTGAGTTCAAATCCAACCTCAGACACTTAACACTTACTAACTGTGTGACTCTGGGCATATCCCTTAACCTCAATTGCCTCACCAAGAAAAAAAAAAAGAAAAAAAAAGTCACCTACTTTCTTCAGGTGCCACCTGCTAAGTTCAAAGGAAAGGAAAACTTTATCTCCTAGTTTTTTCTTTTTGCTCTTACTTCAAGGTATCTTCTATTTACTTATCTGTGTACATATTGCTATTTCCCAGTAAATGTAAGTCCCTTAACAGCAGGGACTGCTTTTTGTAGTAGCTAGAATGAGCTGGCCTCTGCTTTCTACATTGATTAAATCTAGCACAACAGAGACCTCTCCCCCGCCCCAAAAAATAAGCACATCTTCTATAGAATTGCCATGGAAGTAAACTCAAGTTAACTGATTTTGCTAATGCACTCTATAAGGCTGTTTTTCAGGCACCTGGACTGTGTGGGAGTCAGCTCACTCAAAAGGCTGCATTAATAGCTTATTTACAATGCTGCAGCCCCCATACAATTTCATGAGTGAAAGGGTCGGGGGAGGAATCTGTATCGGTTCATCCCCTCCTTCAAACTTACCCCAATCTCTTTCACACACACTCCCCAGCACTTTGGAGGGAGTAGCTGGAAGGCAATGGAAAAAAAAAAGAGAGAGCAAGAGACCAACCATTTCCCCAAGGAGAAGGTTTTACACCTGCTCAAAAGTGAAGGGTTAACAAGGGCCTCCCAGAAGAGTCAAACCAGAGCACTGTTTCCTCTTGCTGTTCTCTTTCACATCCTACTGGTCCCTGACTCCTTCCTCTCTACCACCCCCTTGGGGGAAAAAAAAACACCTTAAAACATCAAGCACTTTCTGGTTGAGAAAGGAAAACAGACTCAAGAGTTTAGAAATGGAAACAGCTTGCTAACAGTTAAATCTCAGGATCTTTGAGCATGAGTGTGAAGTATTTTTAAAAAATAACAGAAACTTGTCACTGTTCTGGGAAACGTCAAGCAATTGTTTTTGCATGTACAAAGGAAAAAAAAGTGCTTTGAAATATTTCAAATAAAAATTTCCTTTGGAACCTTTACAAGTTCAACTTTTGATAGCCGTGACTTTGGAGACTGGGCTTCTAGAGCCCCATATGTTCTAAATAACTTTAGTTTTCTTGTTGCCAATTCATATTTTATGCTCTGAATGGACTTGCTATTTTAAAGTAAAAAAAAAATATTAAGAACAGGTTGTTTGACACATCTGTTTCTTGGTTAGTGTGTTTTATTCCAATATCCAAAGATCTTTCTTGAGAATAATTATGTTAATTGAACTCTTTTTAATCTTTTTGGGGGGTCTGTTTTTTGTTTTACAAATTCAAATTCTACTTTTTAAATTTTTAAATAACTTTTATTGATGTCTTTTGTTTAAACATCATTCTCATTTCTGAATATCCCCCCTCCCCCAGCCTCAAAACCTCCTTTATAAACTATTTATTTTTAAAAGGATAACAGATACTTCTTTGAGTTACTTTTAACTAGTCTTCATAAAACAATATTAACTTTTTCCTTTGTGTATAAAAAAAGGCTGAATTATCTCAATCAATTTAAATGAGCGTTTTTTTCTCCTATAAGGGGAGAAGGTAAAAATGGTAATTAGGAATCTCTCTCGGTGTCACTTGATCTTGTGTGCTGAAGGAGTCCATAGTAATCAGCTAGGCTAACCCTTCCCACCACCCTTCCCACGCCACCATCTCACCATTATAAGGATCTGGCAGGAGGCTGCAGAAGCCATCAAGATTAAGTGGCTTGCTTAGGGTTACACAGGTATTAAGTCTCAGAGCCTGGATTTGAATCTATATCCTCAGGTTTCATATCTAATTCACCTTTTTCTATACTATGAATATACTTCTTTGGTGCATTAATAACTCTTTCTCATTACAACCTTGTGACTGCTGATCTTGCTTGAGGCTTGTCTCTCTTATGGATTTTATGACTGCTGGTCAACTCATTTCAGATAGTATCTGACTTAAGGTTCCACCCATTTCAGTTTACTGGATTTTCCTTGATATCTTAAATGAGATAATTTTAGAATCTAGACACTACATATGATAGTGCTCCTCGGGTCACATCATAAGGGTTTCATTGTAGACAAATTTCCTCATAGACTGGGAATGCTCACATTATCGTTATCATAGCTGCGTAGTTCATGCACAGCAAATGATAGATGATGATTATAGTTGTTGTGGGCAGTTGGGACCTATTTGGAGAGCTCTTTGGATATTAGAGGAGCTTATTCTCTCCCTCCTCACCTCCACCTCCTGGCTTGCCTGGTTTCCTTCAAGATTCAGCTCAAATCCCACTTTCTGCAGTCACCCCACTCACACTGTAAGGCTTTCCCTTTGAGATTAACTTCTGTTTTCACTATGTGTGTGTATTACATTTTTTTTTGTATATAATCTCCTTCACTAGAATGTTAGCTTCTTGAGGTCGGGGACCCTGTTTTTGCCCTTCTTTGAATCCTTTGGAATCTATTGTGTGACATGGGAGACACTGGCAAAGGACTGCCCAGCATGGTGTGCTGACATCAAAGAAGGCATCGTGCTCTGAGTGAAGCAGAATTACAGTAGCTCAAAAGAAACCTGAGATGTGCACATTTAGACACATCTTCACTCCAATTGTTTATGTAGACTGTTTGTGCCTGACTTGTGGTAGAGCCTTATGAGCTTGTATTGGTCTGATCAGTCACAGTGGGACACACTGCACCTTCACCCCCAACATAGTGATATCATTTTGGTCTTCTTTGACAATGAAGGACAGCAACCATTACCAACATTTAGCCCAGTGCTTGCACATATTAAGTTCTTAATAAATATTTGCTGACGAACTCAGAATTGTAGGGGACCTTGCCTGAACAAGAGTAAAATTGGGGAAAATGTTATTGTTACTTTTGTTGTTGTTCAGTTGTTTCAGTTGTATCCAGCCCTTAATAACTCTACTGGTGGTTTTCTTGGCAAAGATCCTGGCATGGTTTGCCATTTCCTTCTCCATCTTATTTTTACAGTTGAGAAATTGAGGTAAACAGGTTTAAGTTACTTGCCCAGGGTCACACAGCTAATAAGTGTCAGAGGCCAGACTTGAACTCAAGAAGATGAGTCTTCCCAACTCCAGCCCCAGCATTCTATCTTCCTAGCTACCCATTATTACTTAGTTGCCATATCATTATTACCATATTATATAATAATATAAATGATGTTATTAATATAATTATGATATTATAATAATGATATCACCAAATATTATATTATTAACTTATCATTACTTAGATACTAAGAGATCCCATATTCACCTACTATCTAATTTTCTTTTTAAATGAAATATATTTAGATAATAAACCAAATCACTAGAAATGTACTTTTCTTCAAAAATTGAGGAAATTTGAATTAATTGTTTTTAACCAGACCTGTGATTTCATCAGAATATAAAGGTCCCAGTGAGGAACTTCTGGGATCATGATAGATCGGGATATTTTTGTAACTTAAGGTTTCAGTTGCATGGCAGCATTGAGAAGTTAAGTGATGTACCTAGGGTCATAGACAATATG